TTTTTCGAAGGCAGTGAAGAGAGCACTAGTGCATAAAACTGTAGTTGAAACGTGAGTTTCTTAATCATAATTTTTTTGACCAATCTAGCATTAAGTCAAAATAACATTAGGTTAAAAGATATGCTGTAATGCCTCTAGCTCTCTCTCTCTCTCTCTCTCTCTCTCTCTCTCTCTCTCTCTCTCTCTCGTAGTAATAGTAGTAGTGCTTCTATGTACTATTTAGTACGAAATATTGTATCTTTTGATAAAAAGTTGCTTCAGTTATATCCTCAGCCATCATTTTCTCGATTAGTTGTGAGTATCTTATTATCCAAAACTGAAAGTTCTTGATTCACATTTATCCATGAAATACGTTCGTTCATGTTTCTTTCTTCAATGTTGTTTACAGACTAAAATGAGACAAAAATTAATTTAAGAATTGTATATTGTATGTGTGAACAATAAATCTTCTCTGTTCAAATATTAACTTGCACGCATAAGGTATTTACTTGTATAGAATCGGAGATGGATAATCCAGTTGATAAATTTGCAGTAAGGTTTCCAAAATCCGCAAAATCAGAGGAGTTCCAGTTAAGATTGTATTGCTGACTGTCCATGTCTAGCAGACATGAAACTCCTGCAGTGTCTAAAAGATTGATACAACAGGGCTGTGTTCAAAATTTCACTCGGGTGAACCCATATATTATTTTATCTTTGTTTAACATTCGAAGGACAAGTAAAATAGTACATAAATATATGTGAATAAAGTTTCTGAATGTAGCCCAGAATACAAATATTGTTTGAAATGACTTCGTGTGAAAATGATTGACTCACAATCAGCAGGTCTCAGATTTAATTCTCACCATCACCACATAATTTCATTTTATAAGAAGAGATTGAAGAAGCATGATTAAAAAGATATAGATTTTAGGGCTATATCAAATCTAAGGCGATTACAGTTACAAACGTTTGTTTAAAAAGTGCTGTAAAAGTTCTGTAGCTTATACAAAAAGAAAAAGCCTCCCGCACTTTGGATTACATGAACGCACAATATTGACAAATTTGTAGAACTAAGATTGAAAACTTAAAAAAAGACTTCAACTTCAATTTATGCATATGTTCGATTGTAAACCGCTTTTTAATTATATAGCGTTATTCTGTAACAAGTTTAATTCCTTTTAATGTAATTGCGATTGATTTGGTAACTACGACTGATTATAAAATTAAACATTCAAGATATTTGATTGTTTCTTTATTAGTCGAATGTTTGATTGATACTGTTGTATTAAATATGGATTGTACTCCATAAAGAAATAATAATTATACTAAATAGGAAGTTACCGATATTATTTAATGGCTGTAATCCATCTTGATTTTCTGATGTTACTTTGTTTAATAACAAATTCAGTTCCTGCTGATTCAATTGCGATTGATCTGATAATTGTGGTTCGTTATAAAATTGAACATCCAACATATTTGGTTGTTGCATTATTGGTGTAACATTATTTGGTTGATATGGTTGCTGCACCAGAGATCGATTGTAATCCATAGGGGATGATTTTCGCCCTGGTGACATTTGAGACCTGAAAAGTATTAATACAAAAATACAGATATTTAAATATAAAGTTTTCACATTTTTATTTAATTCTATTCATTCTAATCTCTTAATCTTGATTGTTAATTTACCTTAAAGTTTGCATACTGATGTGTGGTTGCGAGAACGAACCTATAGGTTGCAGATTGAAATTGCTTGTATTTGCACCTGAACTTCCGAATAATGGTATCCGCTCGACTGGTTCAGCTTTGATGATATTGAAGCCAATAAGTTGATTTTCAGTAGCTATAATATTATACAGAACATGTATGTCATACATGTACTTTTTTCATTATGAAAACATAATTCTTTTAGCAATTAAAAAGATTTTGATCCACATGCATGATGTTGTGAAATGATGTTTGTGAAATGAGTTATTAATAATAAGCATGCAAGAAAAAATACAGAAAATTCTCAATGAAGAAGCATGATTTCATGCATACGTATTATACATGCAATTTTATATATTTTCACTCTCAAATTTTTCAAGTTGAATTCCACAAACACTACTTTCTGTATTCTAAATAATCACGTCTAATCTAAATCATTAATAAAAATAAATTTTCACACTGAATACAACATTACTACATCGTACCTGAATTTTCAACAAGTATCAATATGAATTTTTATCTGAAATTGTATGGGAATAGAGAATAAATAAACACTTTTTTTACATCAAGTGATCTATATACATATATATATATATATTGAGTTATCCGGAAAGTTCGTGCCACAAAAGATTTAAATTTAATAAATGTATACTAAAATTTAAATCTTCTGCGTTTCAATTTTCCTTCAAAATCGGCACGAATTTTGCAGACAACCAATATATATATATATGTATATATATATA